AAGGAGCATCGACCGAAGATTGTATATCTCTACTCAGCTGGCTTCAAGGGCAATGCAAAGCGCCAAAAGTCAAAATGTCATAGAGTTAGCCTTTTATGACTTTTATAACAAATACTTGTTGTATTTTTCACCATGCGACCGTTTATCAGTTCAAAATAATAGTAGGGGAACCCAAGAGGCTAGACGAGGAGTAACTCGAGCATTGTAGGGACCTATTGCGTTTTGAAGATTAGATTGCAGAAAGAAAAAGGTTTATATGATGGGTACCCTTCTAGTGGTGGGGGAGTATCCACAAGTTGTCAAAGATGGAAAAAAATACATAGAAATATTGATATTTATATGCCCCATCAGGTATGATAGTCTGAGAGCTTGTACCAGCTGGGCCTTTAATAAAACCGCCGGCTGCATCTCGGAAATCGCTAAACCTAGAGCTATCGCTAAAAGAATTTTTGATAACGACAGTGACCAAGAGAAATTGTTGGAATTTAAGCTTCTTAAAATGACCGCTAGGGAGCGTAGCTCCAACTTTGAAATTAGAAATGCCGTTTTTACGAAAACATTCATAATTAACATATATCGAAAATAGCTTTATTCAATAGTACTCGTGTTCATTTCAGAGAAAGTAGTGTAGCTTCTGATTAGCATTATATATTTTCGTGTTCTTGATTTCAATTCATGCTTCTAGCGGATATTAAGTCTTGTTAGTTTAGATTGATTTTCGTCCGTCAGATGGCGCTCAATGACACAACTTTCGTTAATGTGGATTTTTCGAAAATTTCGATCACAATAGTTTCGATTACATTCTTCAGAAGGTGCATAAATATCCTAAAAACTAGGAAAAACCGCAGGTCGTAATGCTAATTATTTATAAAGTGATGACTAAACATAGAATTTATTAAGAGGTCCAGAGTCGGGGAGTGGGGAATGCAGGCTCTACTGCAGCTGCACGCACTAAGCTTGACTAGCGAATTTTTCATATTCCAAATATCAAGGTGACTTTTTTTTAGAGTTAATGACTCTTCCACTCAAATCATCAGATTATTGAAATACACACTTTTCAGCATGTAATTTTCACATTTTATCTTAATCCGATGCGCTCGAGTATTGCTAACGATCGATTTTATTTTTTTACTATTCTGATCACCTGCCCCATACGTACCCCCTGTATAAAGGGCTTATTATATGGTGAAAGTACTCGTTAGGCTGCAAGGTAAATATCAAAAACCCCTATTCTATAAGTAATATTTGTAAAATTGATTTTAAATGCTAATAAAATGTTTGTTTACCGTCTTGTTACAAAACAAAACGTTTCTTAAAATTAGGCATGTTTAAAATAATCTAGAGAATGAGATTCTTTTAAGCTACACAGGCGGCGAATACAAACCCGAAATACAGTACCAGAGTAATACGTGAAAGGGATTGAGGATACCTGTTAAGAAAATACAGGGTCCGTCAGAAAGAACGCATGTCTTTCGAATGGGTACTACATCGAGTGAGCTGGTCCCGTGTCAGTGGGGAAGGACGGTTGGATAGTGGGAGAGGTGCCGTTCCAGTTGGCAAGATGGTTTGGAACGTTGAGCATCGTGTGTTGACTGTACGTCGGTACTTTCAAAATGGTGAGTCTGTCGTTCGAACTCAACGTGAGTTTCGCGTTCACTTTCGTGTTCCACGTCGTGGGACAGTACCAGACCGTAACACCAATTTGAGATGGGTGGAAGCATTCAACACAACAGGTAATTTGATGAACAAAAAACCGCCAGGGCGAAACCGTACTGTTAGAACCCCCAAAAACGTAGACAGAGTGAGAGTTGACACGCTGCAAAGCCCGAATCGTTCCGTCTGTTTGCGTGCCAGTTCCCTAGGGATCCACGCGTCCTCTGTACGTCGCATCTTGTAGACGGATTTAGTGTCCCATCCTTACAAAAGTTTATCAACAACTGGTGCCAAGGGATTATGCACAACGTGTTAATTTGGCACAGCTCATGATTAAACAGTTGGATAACAATGACATGACGTTGTTTATGAGTGATGAAGCACATTTTCATTTACATGGATACGTCAATAAACAAAATTATCGATATTGATCTCCAGTGAACCCCCAACAGTTGCATGAGCACCCCCTGCATACCACGAAAGTTACAGTTTGGTGTGCAGTAGGCCCAACAATGATTATTGACTCATTTTTATGGGGATGATGGAGAAACAACTACTGTGAATTCAGAGGTTTACATCCAAATGCTGAACAACTTTTTTTTCGGAACTTCGACGTCGACGTGTCCGTCTCAGAACAGTGTGGTTCCAACAAGACGGGGCAACATCTCACACAGCTCGCACTTCGATGGAACTTCTTCGGGAAAAATTCCTAGGACGTCTCATTTCACGTCATGGCGATATTCTATGGCCCCTTCGCTCCCCGGACCTGTCAACGTGTGATTTTTTTTATGTCGCTACCTGAAATGTAAAGTTTATCATAGCAAGCCTCGGACCCTCGTCGACTTGAAGAAGGAAATAAGAAGAGAAGCAATGGGCACATTTCGGGAGAGGCTTGATTCCTGCATTTCGGCTCAAGGGCGCCACATGGCCGACATAGTTTTTAGAACGTAAATTTTGTTTTACTCAAAAAAATTGCATGTATTTCTGAGTATTTTGATACAATAAAATATTTTACCCATATTTATTTTGACTGTACTACTCAATTTTAAAAACATGCGTTCTATCTGGCGGACTCTGTATTACCTATCCGAAAGCCATTCCCAGACATTTGAGAGGTATTCTAAACTGAATCCAAATTCAAGATGAGATGTAAATAATAACAGTTAGCGCGTGATCTCTCGGTAACAGGTGGGGACAACGCCTCTTATTGGTCAATTCGCCATTAAATTTCAAGCGGTCGCCTGGCGGAATAATGCGCGGGGCGGGGGCAGGGCAGGCAGAGTTGCACTCAGGCCACCGTCCGTCACGTGTATCACTGCGTGCTCGTGTTTTCGTATTTACCTTGCCTGGTTGTTGCTGTTGTTGTTGTTAAGTGTATTTGAGTGATTTGTTAAGCTTCCGTTTCTGTTAAATACTGTCATCTTTGTTTTACAACACGTTGGTGGTAGTCCATCATTCGGAGGTAGCCCTGAATGCGGCCCTGTACGCCGTCCTTGCTTTTGGCAATCACGCATCCATTCTATCTTGGGTGTAAATACACTATAGACATAATCTTATCTCCGATTTGTATATAATTACGAGATTATACAGCGCTTTACAAAATGCACACCCCGCACCTCATCTCTTTTTAACGGCTCAATCTAGCAAAATTCAGGACGAGAGTTAAACATTTCAAGATGGCCGCTGGGCGCCATTTTGGACAATTTTTTCAAACGGAATGGGTGTCATGCGATACCTCATTTTGAAGCTCCTTATGAGAGCTTTATAACTCTATATTATATATATATATATATATATATATATATATTTTTTTTACTATCTTTCATAATGACACCTTACTGTCATCTTGAAATTTCCATCCGTCACATTTACGCTAAAATATAGTATTCATGGAATAGTTTCATCGCGCCGAATTTCAACTTGCTAACTTAGTCCGTTCAGAAAATAATTAGAGAGACCTTTTTGAAGAGCACTGAATGACGAACAAGTATCCAAAACACTGTTTAGGGATAATCTAGAAAAAATTGGGCAAGTCCCTATTCTTCATAATATATCGTACATAGGAAAATGACTTAAGAGAGGCAGATAAAGAGCTGCATGGAGCTGGATCGCATTTCTGCCTTCGTAATTGCTCGTTAGGCAGTAACTGAGTGGCATTTAGATGAAAAATACTATCCATATCCTCTAAATGAACACATGTCCCCCATACTCCACCTGTCTTTTCCATATTTTTCAAACTTGTTATTAGATCCAAACTGTGAGGTGTTTGCTGAGTATCACTGTATTAGATTGATAGAACAGTTAAGCAAAAAGCAGATGAAGCATTTTGACCAAATCGGGCTTCTTGATTTATATCAGACACAACAAAATTGTTATATTATTGTGTTGAAAACTTTACACAGCACTAAATGAAGCTATGAATCATCAATCTACACAAAGAAATATTTTTAAGATCACTACTCAGCGGATCTGAAGTATTTTTAGCGGACATCATTCAGATTCGACAGTTCAGTGGCAGTTAAACCAAACAGATCTCCATAAAAGCAAGCGATAGGTTCGGTAGCAGACTCAACAAATATGTATGGAGAAATTTTAGCGGAAGACGGACTATTCATAAAAAGTTATTTTGGGAGCTTTGGAGATATTTACGTGTCCTTTTTGAAATAAATTGGCACACTACTGATCGTGAGTAGATGTACATCTGGTAGGTGTATAGGCGTAGTCAAAGAATTGTTAGAGCTTGGTATCATGAATAATACTATTATCGGTCTGTAATCACGATAGAGAAATATGCTTGAAGAATGACAAGACGTACTTATTTGACAGTGCATGAGACCACCGATTATTTATCTGACCAGGCAAGAGGCTAGGCTAGAGACATCTGGTGTACCTAGCCTGAGTACCAACAAATGACGTCACTAGATCAATATTGTTCTGAACGAATGGCAATAGTACGAAAATCATGAGAATAGACAGACGTCTACATTCAAGTTTATTTAATAGCTATCCAGGTGTACGTCAGATACTGTACCTGGCAAATCTTCTGCAGGGGATGCTTTTAACACTGAATACCCTCATGTGTTGGGATAAATACCTACTAAACATCATTTTAGTTATCAGATACTATATGCTCTGTGTGAGGACCGGATATATTGGGCCCAACGGAGATTGATAGCGTAATATCTTCAGCTTCTTCCTAGGAATTGACTTAGACACTACCATGATAGATAACTTTTGATTTACATCCGTAAGAATAGTGTAAAATATAGAGCTCTCCAAGTAAATCCGACAATCGTCCTTTATTGGTGATCAACCTTACATGACTGTTCTTTTCATTTGCAAGCTTACAGCCATCCAGAGAGTTGGATATCAACGACGACCAATCTAAAAGAATAAATAAGCGTGTCTTGTCAATATGGAACGCGAAAAGTATTACAGCAACAAATGCAATTGAGAACAGCCTACGTGCTGGGTTAATAACAGTCGTAAAATTACATCATCATCATCATACGTGTAGGTACTATCTATACAAAAAATCTTGTTTTCATTCCATGACGACCTAGAATAAAATTGGCAGACGTAGACTTAGTCATGTTTGAAACTTATCCTGTAGTTTCCATGCTGTTCGAGCTCTATCATTTTCTGGCCAAGTGAAACCACATACTTTTCCTGACATTTCGGCCTCCACGGTTGCGTTTTCCAAAGTATAAATTTTACTACCGTGGTGATCAAAACGTCAGTAAAATGTACTTTAGACATATGTAAGCATTTGGCCAGAAAATTCTGGAGTTCCGAATAACATATATAATAGACAGCTCAAAACAAAACGTATTAATTAGCATGCCATCTCTTAAAACGGGAAAAGAAAAGTTGATAAAAAATTTGCTGAACCTATAAATCACTTTTATATAGAATGAGACACATTAATACTTGTGTCTCCAGACCTGAATATTTGTACTTAAAACTAAAAAAGTGTTTATACTCGCAATATGTTTATCTTGTGAATTTATAAATAAAAGCGAAATACAACTGAGACAAAACTTTACCCGACTGTAATTATAAATTCTATATACACGTATGGTAACTGATGCAATCTGAACTACTAAAATTGAGATGCTTGTTATGTATTTGTAATAATAATAAAGATCCATGGAATAGTGATGCCCAGTTACGCCTATGCTGGCAGCTATTTTCAGTTGTCCATTTCCACGAATAGTTCGGTAGGATCCGCCACTTAGTAACTAAGATAAATTATGCAGGCGTCTCCACTATATAACCCAAACACAAGCCCAGAACTTGGCATTATTGTATATTTAGTCTGGGAACCCATGAATGTACATGTAATCCCGGGATTGATGATGATTGGACAGCCTATTGCACAGCGTTCTCTCCATTTTAGGAAAAATCAGAGCAACTGATAACCACGCAATATGGTTGCGGGCTTAAATAGCTAATAGAGACTAGAGGCGCTACAATATCAACGAAGTCGATCACTGATTTTGAAAAGGCCAATTTGCTCCAGTTTTCAGGCAATTTCTGTATTATCAAGAAATGACCATAATATGTTAATGGCCATAATTAGACAAGCTATGCAATTTACGAAATTTGAATAAAATTACAAACAACAGAGTTTTCACGATCAAAGCCAAAATACGTAGATTGTGCGTCTTGGCTTATGGAAAAAATTGCCGATTGCCAATTGATCCATATAGAATTGACATAACTTTCCGCACTTCTGCTCATCCACCCCTTCTTAATTTCAGAGGAAGTATTGTAATCGAAAATGAGATATTACATATTTTGGATGTCATATGACATATACATACATGACGAAAAACCATGTCACTCATTTCCGTCGGTTTTTCGGTGGTCTGTCTGTCGATTTGTCGGTCTGTATGTGTGGCGGTCTATACGCAAATCTTTGGCCCGTGTGTTTGGAAAATACTGCTAGGATTTTGATGAAATTTTCACACAAGTTTACTACCATGCCAAAGTCGAAAATGTTTTGTGGATTTTGATATTCGTTCCAGTTTCGGCAGAGGTACGGGCAAAACAAAAAGAAAACGCTCAAACTTCATTTTTTGACTTTTTAGAGGCTCATGATCATTTTCGAAAATAAATTTTTAAGGGATAAAAATAAAAAATTAAATATTTTACCAGGGGGGATTCTGAAAACCTCAACAAAAGCGTGTTCAAAATGAAAATCATAATTGCATGACCATGTTTGACTCACTCGATCCATTTAATTTGTGTTATACGTATTCCTAGCTAACTTGTATGTAGTTGTATCCGTTAACATACAATGAACTCTTAGTAGTACACGGCATCCCAGACTATTATTAGTAATCGAGTATCTAATGCGATACACGTTTAAATCTTGCACTTAGTTGCATCTAGTACTTAGAAGAAGGCTCATGAACCACTGTAATTAGTGATTCATACGCATCCTAAGTACATCAATGTATTAAGACGATGCAAAGACAGTAATGACAATCTATTGCTTAAGCGTAACTTATTCTTTGACAGACAAGCATGTGTCTCCAGACTCACCACCATTCATCTTTTGTTTGTCCTGGCGGCCTGTAGGCCTAATTAGTCATGGCCTGTCGTGGCAGTCTGGAGAATATATAAAAAAGCAATTTAAAAAGCAGTAAGGAAAATAACAGATAATTCAAGTGAATACCTCGTTGTTTCCGGAGTAGTTAGGAACAATTCTAAGATATTATTTAGGCTTTTTCAGAATTTGATTTCAAAAGCAGTCAGTTAAGTGCTTTCCGTACACGCGCCATTTCTAAGGATAGCCTAGAACTGTATTATCTGCTATTTGACGCCGGTAAAGGAGGCTACACAGGCGACATAACCTTCTTGGGGCATACGATCTGGAGTCCGCTAAGAATTGCGCTACTGAGCCGATCCATGGGTGAATGTTTGGTCTGGAAGTTGTTGGGTATAGTATACAACTTGTTACCGTTCATGATTTGTCTATGTGATAAGGAGTACCTCAGTCTCGATTGCCGGGTGGCAATAAAAAAATACACTCATCAAATCTGGAGTGGCTAAGGGGACGATACAATCCTATTTTTAGACTGCATTAATTATTCACCAAACTGAAATATTTACAAATGTATACTGTTTGCAGACAACACTATAACTATAGCCATTAACAAGAATGCCCGTGAATTGTTAAGAGAATTTCAACAATATCTCTCTGAGATTCAAAATTTATTTGTAACTATGAAATCAACAGTTTATTGACATAAGTCACAATCTGTGGTAATAAGCACTTGTCGGTATAGATACTAGCGGATTAACCGAACAATATCACATATTTAATCAGAAATCTAAATGATTCAGTGTCAAATCCAGTAGTGCTGTTCGCCGATCATGCATATTTTCAATCTTGCGTACAATATTGTATATTGATATGGCCACTCTGCACATGTCTAAAAAGTTTTTACAGTCCAAAGGACATGCGTGAGAATTTTTGCAAATTTGAATTACCGAAAATGTTGCAAAGCAAGCTTTCATAGACTCTTGACTGTTCCTAGCATACATCATAGAGTGTCTGCTATATGTTAAGAAGCACCAGAACGTTTAAAAAATCCTCATTTGCTTCTTCACCTAGGCTACGCTAGTTTAACATCTTTCTAAGATAACAAATTTTGATATAACTTCTAGTTGCACCTTGAACGAGCATTAATGCGCAAGAGGTGCACAGTTATGAGTCATTCTACTTGACTTCATTAGTTTTTACATTTACCTGCATAAGAAAGTGTACTCTCATAACGGACTCATCAAATTTCATTTAAAAACAAATGCATGATAATTTATTGACAGATGCTACCTACACAAGCGTATTGTTTATTTAATAAAATATTTCTAATATTGCCCGCATCGGATTAAGAAATCGTTACACGTTACTTTCGAACATTTCCTTGAATGTCAGATGTTTATTATTCACCACTTCAGTATTGTTTTAACAAGTTTCCGCCTATTTCCAATTATGATGCTGACTGTTGATAAAAAGGCACATGAACGTGAATGGCAATTATTGTACTTTCTTCGGATTCGGGTGTAGCCAACAGCGTTTAAGGAATCAATCAGGTCCTCACGTCTCTCTCTGACTGCAATACACCAAAACATATAATACTTGAACTATAAGGTATCTATCTGATCATTTATTAGTTTTTAGGACACGGAGGATTTACCTCAGCAGACCGACTAGTCTCCTGAGTGTAAAGAGAATACTATTTTTCTTTTCGCTTTCGTTTTAAAGGAACAACGCAATTTTTAGGGAACACACAATTTCAAGTTCAAGTCAGCTGTTTAAATTTCCCAGCCATAACAGACATACAGTTATGATGATGTCACTCCGTTCGTCACCGAACACAACTTCAAATATCTTCTCATGACAAAAGTGATATGAATGAAGCTGATTTGTGCATTAAATCAGATTTCCTTCCGAGAAACTTTTAACTCTTATTTATTGATCAAAATAATTGTTGATTAATTAAAAACATTGCATAGGCCCTCCCTCATTATTAATGTGTTATCACCATATTTTCAGAAAATAATATTTCGGCCATTTACTACTAATAATGATCTTAATTGGTTAGTGCTGTATCCTAGTCTCCCAGAATATTTTATTCTAAATGCAAAGTAGAAAGAGTTGCGACCATGCGCTCATATAAATAATAAAATAAAAAAACATGTTTAATAATGGGCAATTATTTAGCTGTTAATAAAATCAACTAAACATTTAAAAATACTGTTGGAAATATTTAAACGACAATGAATCTCCTTCATCTCAAGTTCTTGAATAAAAGCGTGTTACGTTTTGACACCAGGATGGAACAAAAGTTGTAAAGTTGAATAAAAACGGATTATCTGCAATAAATGAAGAATGAGCAGCACTGTACATGTCTAAATTACTTTTCAAAAAGCTGTAACCGGAAGTATGTACAAAAATAAACCTGAACCTTTCTCTTGAAATGGCTCCTAAAATATTCCCTTACCTCTAAGTTATAGTTTCGAAAGGAAAACAAAACTATAACTCCTGAGTGAATGAAAGTATCACCCTGTAGAGTATACTGATATAAATGTGCGATAAATGTACAACCTACATAGATTTCGCTAGCGAAACATTATCAGGCTTTGGTGTCTGGTTGTAATTTGCTTTCATACAAAGTACAATAGCACCCACATTCACATCAAGTCCCGATCTCTGCGAGCAAATATTTACTCTCAAACATGGAAGACGTCAAACAGTCGTGTCTACCTCAGACAATTCTTTGTGGCGGGAATTCAGTAATGAGTCTGATTCTGTCAATCATTTGCTTTTCATTGTTCTACTTTTTTTAGTGGCAGAGGTAATTGATCGCGGCATTGACCTAAAAATATTGAACTATTTATAGGTCCTTTTTTGTAAATCTCAGTAGTTCCAGTTGGAATGTTTATCGTCTGTTAGTTTGTTAGTTATAATAACTAACAATTCATACAACTTAAGATCAAATTACTAAAGTAACTATTGAACATTTTTTGAGTTGCCAAAAATATGCGGACCTACGGATAAAAAAATGGAATCAATAATTTTATATTCGCAAAAATTCTTTAAATAGGTCTAAACTATATCAGGAAATAAAACGCGAATTAAAAGATTATAATTTTGAACCTCTGAAAATAGTTTTTGAATATATGCTCCCAAAAGTCAATCATTAAAGCACAAAGGTTCGATTTTTTATTCTTCCACCTCTTCAAAAGAGTGGTTGACAAAAATCATAGCATCGAAAGGCGTGCAAGTGTGATGCTTGGGGCAATATGGACTCAACTTCTCACCACTACTGACGGAGGAAGTATTGTGATCGCGAAAAATTATGAAAATCAGGTTCATGCTTGTTGGTTGTTATGACCATGTCACTCAATTCCGTCAGCCTGTCTGACCGTCTGTCTGTCAGACTGTTGGCCTGCCAGTCTGCCAGTCTGTCTGTGAGTTTGTCCGCTAATCCTTGACTCATCTATAACTTGGATTGGATTTGGATAAAAGTTTCAAACAAGGTCATTACAATGCCGCGAACGAAAAGGCTTTGTAGTTTTCGAAAATCGGTACACTGGTTGCGGGGAAAAATACCAAAAAAGAAAAAAAGTGCTGATCGCTGAACATTTTCAGAGGTAAAAAATTGGAGCAATTTTTTGATGTTAGTATATTTCACACATCAAATATTTCCTCATACATTTGCTCTTAAAATATTTACAGACTCGAATCCTGTCACAGTCTCCTTCCTTCGTGAAGCAAATGCTGTCTACGTATGACTGCCCCGCTTGCCCTCTCGATCTCGAGTTATAGCAGTGTTCCTAGATTTGTCGCGGGGAAAAGCATCTATACCTATATACGAGCATTACGCTTGTAGCATCATTGTGAGGTTACTAGATTTCGTGGGGTAATATTATATGGTTTAATACATATAGTATACAAGTACGTATCAAGATTTATTATAATCTGGTATCAAACACTGTGGATAAACAGTTTTATAAGAAACTTTGAAAACGTGCTTGCTATTTGTCTCTGTTCATCGAATGGTTTTGAGTTTAATGAGGACTCTAACTTATGTTTAACTTAATCAGTGATTTGATATAAGCGCATTAATCTGGAATCTGGCTAAGCGGATGTAATCATAAAGCAGCCTTTCTTGGCACAAAAATCAGTGACATAAACATAACTATAACTATAATTGGGAAGTAAGCAGTAGTAATTCTCTACGCGAGGTCTCTTTTATAATGAAACAATATGTTGCAATTTCTGTTTAATTTCCCTGTCGAATTACCTTTATTTACTGCAAATAAAAATTATCAACATTTCAAGTGCATTGAATAACACAAAACACCGTTAATTAATAACCATTAGGCATTATCATGAATGGAAATGACTTCATATCCACTGTGATGACCTGGGACCATAAAAAATACATTTAAGAGGTGCGGTTTAATATGTTATATACGAGCAGTCGCGTCAGAACAGTCCCCACCCCTTTCCAAAAGATCACGGGAAAAGAAAGATATGCAAGAAATATTTACTAATATTTCCTCCAACCCAATTTTGAAACTTTTGACTATAGCTTTACGTTAAAATAAAGTATTTATGCATCAATTTTATCTTCCCGAGTTCTGCTTCATAGTTTAACCCGTTCTAAAGATGAGTAAAGGAAGAACTTTCTACAGCTTAGATTAAATGAGGAAAACGCTGCGTTCTTTGAGGCACATTTACATGATAGTATTTTTAAATTGTGTGCCCGACTGTACGTTTTGAGAAACCATCATCAACTTTATTTTTCTAAATGGTCCGAACAAAAGTACGTCCTTTATGAGATCTTTTTCTACCAATTCAACGATGTATCACATGTTACATTTGTTTTCTTGATTATAAAGCAAAATGTGTTATTTATTATTTTTTTATTTCATTTAGGTGGGCGTTGCCAACAAATGCTTGATGTAAGATTATGCTTACAAAATTTTATAAAATGATGCTTAATCTAGTTATATTCAAAAAGCGAATGCATTTTTAATAGTATTTTTATTTCATTCACAGTAGATGTTCACATTTCTGGTGTAATCATACACATTCTCGTAACTGCTGCTTAGTTTCAAAAGTAGGCTGATAAACTTGGTTTTTAATAAAACCCCAAACAAAAATGTCCAGAGAAGCTAAGTCCGGGGACCAAGCTGGCCAGGACACTTCACTGAAGATTCCAATCCATGTAACAGGGTTTTTGAATGAATTTATTTAAATTTCGAGCCAACTCTAAAAAAATGGACATACTTGGCTGTCTTCTTTCGGGAAATTTATGAAGAGACATACTGCAGAATTTTTAGTATTTTTGTAGTACAGAATGTAACACGTCTAACTTTTCTTCATTGCTTAAATGACCGCTATGTATATATATAAAACAATAAAGTTGATGAAGGTTTCTCAAAAACGAACCGTCTGGCACAACATTTAAAACACCATCATTTTATTCCTAAAAAGTGACAATGGAAAAGTTTCATTAGCTTTTGATATTTCTTAAAATAAAGTCAAAAAAAATATGATTTGATGAAATTTTAGCTTTCCTCAAATATCTCAGTAAACCATTAGATCTTTACAAGTTTCTCAACGGCATGTAAATACGCTCTTGGAGGACAGCACCTCTATGGTACTCAGCTTGTGCATTACTAGCGATAATATACCAGAACGCACCTCTTAGTAATAATTACCCATGAAATGACAAAACGATAAAAAAGCATTTAATCGATGCGGTGGCACAATGTTTATGTATATCATTTCTATTTTTATAACGTTATGCTGCCGGACACTTCTCATCATTTTTATGCTCATAAGACAAGCATTATATCAATTATACCAGCTATCTGTCGACGTATGTGACCTTAGACCACACAATGAGCCTAATTTCGAAAGAAATAAATCAAAAGATTGTAAACAGAGCTTTTGAATTAATCATTCATAAAAACGCTTCAAAGAGAACCAGCGGCTGTCATTCAGCAGCTGTTTTCATATCAAAGAAGCTACTTGCAGATGTACCAACGTACAGGAGGAAGCAGAATGTGATGTAATCTTAGTATCGACCACTGGGAAGAAAATAATTGAAGTAACTGTGAAATTCGTCTTGACTTTAACAATATATTCAATTATTCCCTCAAAAATAGAACCGAAATTATTCACTGTATATTAGTAGAGCATTGTGAACCCATTTGGATGAATATTTTTCAAACAGTCATTTTGACTTCAGTTTGATATGTAGTGCTAGACCTAGACCTAACCTCTGTGTATTTGAATTTTTCAAGCGCCTCCGGAAATATGTTATTTGGTGTTAATGTATGGAGCAGTTTGATATTCCCCAGGTCCAAGTTGACTAAGCTTGTGTACACTCCCACAGACAGCGCCATGTATGAGACACTAACATTTTCAAAGTATTTGTAGTAAATAGAGAAACAGGTGTGACAAATTCTATTATAGGTGACGCTACGGTGTCTCATTTTATCACAGATAACTTTCTGGACGCGCGAATATAGCATTAGGTTGTAGGTTGTCTATCTTCAGGTAGAATTCGTTAATCAAGGGCGTTGAAAAAGCTTCATACTCTACTTGGTGAGGTTAACAGCTGATTTATATAGCAGGCACAGCCTCGAGCTGCCATCTGTGGGTAAGTTACATAGTTGGTCCGGTAACTTTTCGATACACCCTTGTACCTTCCACATAGCTTCTTGGACGCCGGAATACAATATATGGTTGACTATCTTTAGATAGAATACATTAATCACTGATATCGCCTAATTCCTAAGTTGAAAGAACATTTAACAAGGCCATTCGGTTTTCATGACGAGGAGAAAAATGAGGTTTTATTCTTGCTCAAAGATCTGACGGCAGCTGGTACGTCACGGGCATACAAGAACTACCATAGCATCAACGAAATTGCATTAACTGTCATGGCGCTTATGAGGAAAAATGGATGCTCAAACCTTATAATGATCATCAGTAATTATTATAAATAAGTTGTTTTTTAGATTAAAAGAATTATTCTTGGCATTCTTGTACCAAGTCTTTTGCATATTCCAATTATAATAGAAGAAAATAGAGACTCACCAATCCGTCTGAGTAGTAATCTTCAAAATTATCCTCCCCCAAATCAAATAACGACGATTCCGTCGTAGTAGTAGTTGTAGTCGTTTTTCTGTAGCTATGATAGCTACCTTTATGTCTCAGCCTATAGTTTTGCTTGTTGGGACTTTCGTCCTCCACTCTCAAGTTCTCTATCCTCGTCATCACTTTGTCGAATTTTGAGTACCGCGACGGTTTGTGTCGACTATCAGCGAGATGTGACGTCACTTGGTGCTTTTTAGTTCTATGATCGTCAGTTTGGTAGCAATGCACTATGCACAGAAAAAAGTGGAAACACAACACTGTCTTTGCCAGTCCGATCACCATTTTCTTTTAGTTGGCAATCACTTTTCTATCATTCTAATGGGTATGCTTGCCGTTTTTCTGGGTTCATATCAGCGAACATTTTACAGGGTGGAGAATAAATTTACCTGGAAGCAAATTATTTCATTAGATAATTTAATTAGAACAAATCATTTGATGAATCACGAATCATTGTGATCATTGTACCCTATTTTTTTATTAAACATCATTTTTCCTAAAATTCTTATTGGTAAACCATGTGCAAATCTAGAGCCAACAATTCATAAAATCAAGATCAGAATGCAATGGAAGTTAATGTATGGATGCGCCTGCGTCAACAAATCAGGCAAGAAAAGAGACATCCCTTGATTTCTGTCACGTAATTGATATGAATGTATTTCCATATTTGTTTATCCTTAATGAATGAACATTATTAGCATTATAGCTGGTGCTGATTGTTCCAAGGAGATGGAGATGTGTTACAGAATCTGCCACCGCCAGCCGGGAGATGATATAAATACTCGAGATTTATTGGTATAAAGGTAAGAAAATTTTAAACCAATGACTAATAAAACGGCATCATCTTCGGATGTTTCATCTACCCGCTAGCACCAAATGCTTTGAGCGAACCTGTACGGTTTTCAAGAGCACAACGTCGATACTGAAAACCAGATCGTAGGAGGTGTTTCTAACGCAGATAAAAAACTGAAAGTTTCATAAACCACAAAATATATTCATCCAGCTACAATGCAGTGTATAGACTACCGAGTTCACTGATATACTTAAGTGTCATTTATTATATTGGCATGCAACTGATTCCAAAGATCTTCTATATTTCCCATGGAATAGTGTCAACTTCAGATGATTCCAGAGACAAAAATAGCCGTAGGTAGTATCGGGTAAAAAGGGTGACAAAATGCCGTTTCGAAATACGACATGCAAAAATCCGTTCGAGACCATACAAACGTACTGCATATGGACTGGCGCCAGCACAACTTTAACAAGTGGCTGTATAGAAATTCAAATATTCCTACAAGCAAATTTCCCCATACACACTTTTATGTAAGCAACTTTTAACATTTACTTCATCTGTCTCGGTTGCGTCAAGTTTAATGTTGTACGTAAGTATCAAAAATGAAGGAAACTTTACTCTGAGGTTCAAACTTGGCTGACGTCGTAATGTGTACGAGAGAGAAGTCCGTGAAGCGTCCTCTGTGTATATTAGAAGCAGTGCGCCGATGGTACCCGAGACCTCGTCCCTCGAGGTGCTAGGCAACGAGGTGCGTCTAACGTACGAATTGCACGCGCCTCTCTCTCGTACACATTACGACGTCAGTGGTATTTGGTTTTCAGTGTATATTATATGTCCAATGCAAAAAAACAGATTTATTCGGGGAATAATAGCGAACACATCAAATAAATATCATCTTATTAAATATTATTACGCCTACCACGATACCAAAATGCAATCATTAAACCAATCAAGTAAAACTGAAGCCCGAAGATGCCTGTATACAGTTTCGTGTTATTAATCACGTAATAAAAAGTTGTGTTTGTCTTCAATTCAACGTTTTCAACTTCGGCATGTCCAAAAAATTAAGCTGTATTGCCGATTACATATCGGTATCGCGCAATCCGTAATGGAAACGCACCTCAAGAAATGCAGATAAAGAAGTGCGTGATCTTTGGTAATAAAAATTATTTTCGAAAATATTCGCGCTGAATTTTTGAGAAATCATCTAAAGGTAAAATAGCTTTACATTACTTGAAAAAATCACCTACAGAATGTTTGACACGCGGTTAAGAAACAGGTATTACTTGAATGAGGTGTAGAGTTTTGTGAAAATCAGAGCTGTCATATCTGCTTTTTGTATGGTAATGATAATGTTCAGGGTATTACTGTCAACCATAACTTCAGCAATAGAACACAAATGACAACATAAAGAATAGGCGTTTTTCTACACTCTCTGGAAAAGAACGCAACCTACTGAAAGTATGATTAGATGTAGTCAAAAATACCAACTGGGAATCAGAAAAGTGCGAGGAGATCTAGCCATCCCTAAAGTACATCTTCTATTGAATAATAAAGTCTTTCATCGATTCTGCATAACAGCTTGGTGCACATGCTAGTGGTTTTATGAGCAGATTCTCATATTTCTCCAAAGTAATCCACTTTTATACGTGTACTCCGATCAAATACAAATTTAACCGAATTCTTTCCAATAACTAAAAAGGTTCCGGCTGGAAGTGAAAACCGAGATTTTGAACTACGACCTTTTTCTACATATTTTAACAAATTTCATTGGCAGTAGAAACTTTTTATGTTTTTTTTTTTGTAGTTTTAGAGTGATGTAATATCTGTTTATGATCCTTTCAGCTTTTAGACGTTTATATATTCATATTGTATTATAAATAGTACATTTTCTTGGACGAAGGCCTTAGAAACACGTGACGTTACCTTGTATCTTCTCCAAACTCAAAAATATTCAAAACACTTCGAAAGCCTGTTTTTTAACCATACTGTACGTTGAAATTCCTTTCGCATATTGCATCCGAGATGGCATTTTATAATTTAGGCAAACGGGTGATAAAATTCTACAAACCTGTATCTAGATATGCAGATGAGCCTGAATAAAATGGCATACTGATGACTACAACTGCCGTTTTATATATTCCTGTTGCAGAATTTTTATCGTGCATCTTAACGTAACTGACTCCTACCGCATTCAGAATGCCGTATACCCAACAAATTGAATATAATAGAGATTTTATAAATTTTGTACGTTATACTTCTGGTTCTGAATGTTGCAAAGATGGGTTGAAAACACTACCAAAATATGTTGTCAAGCAAGAATATATTTTTTCCAGTTAAAGAATTATGCTTGCACAAAAATATAATTTCTGAATACAAGGTAAAAAACAGCAATGATGCGTAAGGACTGGCCTGCCCGCCCTGCCAAACTTATTCTATGACAAACTGTATACAAAAATATGCAGGAGTGAATAACTTTTCAGAATTAGGTACATTTTCTTCATGTCTCAATCTTTAGAGAATGTGTGTTGAGTAACGTCAATTCCGGAGAAAGTAAGTCATTAATGAATAAATATAATTATACCTAAAAGTGACTTCAGCGTTCCAGGTAAATATAAGTTGAGCAATACCGTATTTCATTTGACATTTAGAATGCAAAGAAGCTCAAATTTTAATGAGCAATATTCGTACACTGTAGCAGCAACTCTGCTAATAAAATAAATGTTGGCAGACTTTATCGTCATTTAGATTGATTTATGCCAATAATTTAGTAGATTGCAAAACAACCTTCAACAGCTGGCATATCAAAATTCTTCTGAAGACGATAATCCACAGGCGTCGCAAATTATTAAGCTTAAATCTAAATTTTTCTTTTGTCGCAACTACACTTGAATTATGATAACCCATACAAGCTTATCACTTTTCAATACAAATTAGAATAGTTGTAATAAAATATTGTACAAAAATTCCATAACGAGTGAAAATCTGATATTTATGATAACTACTATCCAAAATTATGAAAACGTACAGTTGCTATCTGTATCTAAGAATAACATAAATATCAATATCTAATATTCTCAGGATGTTTCATTTGATTCCGAAGCTGCAGATACTTTCTAGTCGATTGCTAAACCAATTTATTGTGTGTTACCTCAACCGTATGTGAGTATTATGACCACTTGTTTATTGCTTTCGTAAACATGGGCCATTTTTTCGCTCAAAATAATCAGACAAATGGAAGTATAAGCACCATTAAAAGACTGATACAACTGATCGAACCAAAAACTCATACTGAAGACTATACGATAACCCAAGAAGTTTGCCAAATTTAGATAAACTATAATAATAGAAACAAGAAACGCCAAGATTTTACACGGCAATGGTCAAGAACAAAAAATCTGTGTAATAACATTCTTATTTTAATCTTTTACTATTTTTTTTATTATGCAATTTTTATATAGGTGATTTTTGGTACATCAACTCCTTTTGACGAGTGCTACAAGCAGTTAAAATAAATGATGGAACTTTGAAAACACCCTGAATATTTTTAGAGGCAAGGTCTCAATGTGTCTACGTAGTAGTCTAATGTTATCGACAAGACAAATTGCCTCAAACATTTTAAGATCTGTTGATAAACCCAAATCCTCCACTAAAAATGGTAAATCCTTCGAAAAATGACACAACACAACAAAGTTAGATAGCTTCAGTAAGATTGACTTTTCGCCTTTTTTTGTTAGTCATCCTAAATTATTTCAAAAATACATTTGTAACACCCACTAGGTTATTCTCAAGAGTTACGACTCGACAATATGTTGTCCAGCAACTTGCTTAACATTGGCCAAGCGTCACCGAAGCTGCAAAGCGATAAAAGCTATAGACAAACAAAAAAAGAGAGCGAGGGACATCGATACTGGTGAGGAATCATCCAAGAAGCTTTCATCCAAAGCTAACTATTTTGGTATATTTGTACACAAAAATATATGTGAATCAGTTAAAAGAGAGTAGCCTTGAGCCACCTACGTGTCAGGATGAAACGATTGTAACCGACTCAAAGGCTAAGGCGGAGGTGCTTGCCGAGATTTTCGCAGCCAATTTCACCACTGACACGATAAAGTAACATTCATCCATAAGACCCTAAGACCCCAAGATGGGTGCCCTTGTCGCTCGACCTAAGCAAAGCTTCCGGTCCGGACCTGATTCCTGCCGTTGTATTGAAGAGGTGTGTGACCATCCCTTACAACTTCTTTCTGTTATAATTAAGATGGAGAGGTGCATAACTCTCGAGCTTCAGGACTACCTCGAACGTCACGGCTTGATTAGCGACACGCAGTATGGTTTCCGTCACCAACGATCCACAAGGGACCTCTTAGCTTACGTCACGCAATTGCGAAGTAAACTCATCCAGGCTTATGGTGAGGCTCATGTTGTTGCTCTTGATAACCCGGAAGCGTTAGATCAGCTGTGGCACGCTGCCCTCTTATGCAAACTTCCCTCCAATGGCCTCCCAGAGAAGCTTTGCAGATGGGTGGCTGACTTTCTTTTTGGCCGCAAGATATCCGTCATAATTGACGGTTTCTCCTCTTCATCCCATAACGTCT